GATTCCTCCACATCCACCGGCCCCAGCTCCGGGCTTTGCTCCACAGTTTGGCCCACGGCTCGTGGCAACACCACATGGAGCTGGTGGAGCACGTTTTTCCCATGGGTTTACCGGGATACCACGGAATTCCCGCCGCATCCCACCCACCTGCACTCCTCCCCTTCCAGCAGCTTCCTGTAGGTCGCGATCTCCACGTCCAGGGCCAGCTTGACGTTCATGAGCTCCTGGTACTCGCGGAGCTGCCGGGCCATGTCGGCCTTGGCCTTCTGCAGGGCGCTCTCCAGCTCCTCCAGCTTGGCCCGGGCGTCCTTGAGGGCCCCCTCCCCGCGCTGCTCCGCGTCCGCGATGCTCGTCTGGAGGGTCTCGCACTGGGGGGAGGCACGGGGGGGGTCAGCGGGGAGGGGGTAGCCAAGGGGAGAGGAAGGAAAGATCCCAGGTCATGGAATCGTGGAGCAGTTTGGGTTGGAAGGGACCTTAAAGGTCACCGAGAGCGTGGGCAGGGGATCCCACCAGCCCAGGGGGATCCAACCCGGCCTTGGACACTCCCAGGGATCCAGGGGCAGCCTCTGGGAAACCCATCCCAGGGACTCCCCACCCTTCCAGCCAGGAATTCCTTCCCAATATCCCCCCCAAATCCCCCCTTTCCCAGTGGGAAGCCATTCCCTGTGTCTGTCCCTCCAGCCCTTGTCCCCAGTCCCTCTCCAGCTCTTCAGGCCCTGGAAGGGGCTCCAAGCTCGCCCTGGATCCTTCCCTTCTCCAGGCTCACACACACTCATCCCATCCCACCTTTCCATGGGCAGGGACACCTCCCACTGTCCCAGGTTGCTCCAAGCCCTGCCCTTGGACACATCCCTAACCTGTTCCAGGGCGATCCCAGCTCAGCTTTTCCACAGCAGGTCCCTCCCACTCCCAAGGATTCCCAGCACCTTTATTCCCCTCCAGGGAAGCCCCGAAGGGCTCGGTCGAGAGTTCACCCCCCGTTTCCCCGGGGACACCCCCCTCACCTGCTTCTTCACGCTGTCGATCTCGGCGCGGATCCTCTGGACCATCCGGTTGAGCTCCGAGATCTCGGCCTTGGTGTCCCTCAGGCTGTCCCCGTGTTTGCCCGCGCTCACCTGCAGCTCCTCGTACTGGGGGCACAACCAGGAGGAGCCCGTTGGGTCCGGCCCGACCCCGCGGCTCCCCCGGCAGCTCGGGATGGGCCCGGCTCTGCCGGGAAAGCCACGGGAGGGACGGTCTGGATGGACCAGAGACAGCAAATCCCAGCTCCTGGAGTGCTCTGAGCCCCCAGTCCCAGCTCCTGGAGTGCTCTGAGCTCCCAATCCCAGACCCTGGAGTGCTCTGAGCTCCCAATTCCATGTCCTGGAGTGCTCTGAGCTCCCAATCCCAGCTCCTGGAGTGCTCTGAGCTCCCAATCCCAGCTCCTGGAGTGCTCTGAGCTCCCAGTCCCAGGTTCTGGAGTGCTCTGAGCTCCCAGTCCCAGCTCCTGGAGTGCTCTGAGCTCCCAGTCCCAGCTCCTGGAGTGCTCTGAGCTCCCAGTCCCAGTTCCTGGAGTGCTCTGAGCTCCCAATTCCATGTCCTGGAGTGCTCTGA